GGGTGCGGGGGGCAGTGGGTGCCCAGGGTATGGGGTGCCCGAGGGCTCTGCCACCCCCTGCGGGTCAGGGTGCCCGGGGGATCCGGGTGCTTTGGGGTGTCCCTGGGTACTGGGTGTCCCTGGTTGTCCCTGGGGACCGGTGGTCACACCGTGGTGGCCCAGCGGGTGCTCACCATTGTTGAGCTTGTGGTGGGTCTGCTGCTTGCTGCAGTCAGCCGGGACGCCGTGGATCTCCACCCGCACGAAGGGGTCCACGATGGAGCTCCCCTTCTCCCTGTTCAGCTTGGGCAGCTGCTGCGCCGTGATCACCTGGGGACAGAGGGTGCTGGGGGACAGCGGCACGGGGCACCGCGGGGTGGCAGAAGGGATGTGGGTGGCACTCGGCTGGGTGTGGGGACAGGGCTGGTGCGCCCAGGAGAAGGGACATGGGGGACACTCGGCTGGGAGTGGGGAGGAGGGAGGTGGTTGGTGCCACCTCGGAAAAAGGACATGGCTGACACCAGCTGGGTTTGGGGACAGGGTTGGTGTCACCCAGGAGAAGGGATGTGGGTGGCACTTGGCCAAGCATGGGGATGAGGTCAGCATCACCCAGGAGTAGGGACATGGCTGGTACCCAAACAGATGTGAGGACAGGGTCAGTGTCCCCAGGAGATGAGAGGGTGGTAGCACCCAGGTGGGTTTGGAGTTGGTGGCACCCAGGAGAAGGTGTGTGAGTGGCACCTGGCTGGACATGGGGTTGGCGTCACCCAGAGCGGATGTGGGTGGCACCTGGTTGGGTGTGGGGTTGGTGGCACCTTGGAAAAGGGATGCAGGTGGCACCTGGCCAGGCATGGGAATCTCATGGGTGACACCTAGCAGGGACATGGGTGGCACCCACCCGGGCGTGGGGCCGGGGGGAGCAGGGTGCCCTCACCCTGACATGCAGCACCAGCCGGGGGTTCGCAGGCGGGGGGGCTTCAGCACTTAGCCACAGCACCCATTGCCCAGGAAGCGCCCAGTGTTCAGGTCCATCTCGTAGCCTGGCGTCTGGAAGTTGAGGGCCACTGTGGGGACAGGGGGATGGGGCGTCAGGGTGGGTGATAAAACTCCAGGGCGGGGGGGGTCAGGTCATGGGGTGTCCCCCAGGGGCCTTGGGGTCTCACCCAGCTGGCAGCCGGCGTTCCACATCTCCTGGGGGTTGTAGTTGGAGGAGTTCATCTTCAGCCCCAGCGGGTAGACGCGGCTGAGCTGCCGGGCGTTGTACCGGACGAGCGCCGGACCTGGAGGGGGGAACAGCTGAGCGGGGCCGCTGCACCCATGGGTGCCGGTCCAGGGCCCTGCCCGCAGGTGACGGTGTCCTGCCTGTACCCGTGTACCTGGGGACATGGAGGGACCCTGCCCAGCTGGGTGGACCCAGAGCCTGAAACATGACCCAGACCCTGAGACCAGACCCTAACCCTGGACTTAACCCTGGACCTGGACCCTGGACCCCTGACTCCAGACCCTGACCCCAGACTTCAGGCCCTGGATGCTGACCCAGATCTTAATCTGAGTCCTCGACCCCTGACCCTGAATCCTGACCTTGACCCCACACCTTGACTTTAGAACCCAGACCTTGACCCTGGACCCTGAACCCAAACCCCAGACCTTGACCCCAGACCTCAGTCCCTGGACCCTGTCCCAGATCTTAATCCCAGCCCCAGCCCCCAGCCCTGACCCTGGACCCAGATATCACATCCCAAACCCTGAACCCAGACCCTTACACCAGACCCTGATCCTGGACCCGTGACCCTCGTCTTGGCCCCTGGTCCCACCAGACCAGAGCAGCATGGCCAAGGGCAGCACAGCCCCTGACCTCCACCCACAGAGCCACCCCGGTGACAGAGCCCATCGGTCTCAGCCCCGTCCTGCATCCCAGTGAGGTCAGGAGCACGGAGCCACCCTGTCCCCATCCCCATCCCGTCACCCTCACCCGCCTCCTTGATGAGCTTCCGAGCCTTCCTCTCGCTGAAGGAGGACATCTCGCAGGGCCGGGGGTTGCGCAGGGCGTGGGCCAGGCCGGGGAAGGGGACAGCTTGGCAGTACACCACCACGGCTGACAGCTCCGGGGCCACCTGTGATGCGTCCTTGGCCTGTGGGAGTCACCCTGGTGTCAGGGCCACCCTGGCTCTGGTGGGCACCCACCTGCCTGAGGGTCTACACCCCCCCCCCACCCCCCCGCTAGTGCTGAGTGCTGAGACTGCCAAGGTCATGGAGATCCCCAAAGTGATAGAGACCTGAGTCAATGGAGACCCCAGGGTGATGGAGACCCCAAAGTGATGGAGAACCTGAGCTGTGGAGACCCTGAGATGATGAAGGACCCAAAGTGATGGACAACCCAAGATGTTAGAGACCCCAAGGTGATGGAGACCCTGGAGTGATGGACCACCCAAGATGATGGAGAACTTGAGGTGATGGAGAACTGAGGCAATGGAGAACACCCCCTCAAGGCAATGGAGACCCCAGGGGGTCACTTTGGAGACCCCAAAGTGATGGAGACCCAAGGTCATGGAGTTCCCAAGCCAATGGAGCCCCCAAGGTGATGGAGACCCCAGCAATGGAGCACCCAGCCCAATGGAGGGAGGCATAGCCGAGGAGTCCCCCAGCTCAGTCCCCACTGCCGGGCAGTGACAGCTCCTCACTGCCCCCACGGTACCCAATCCATCAACCCACCCAGCTCCATCACAAGACCCACCTGCAGAGGTTTGATCTCCTGCAGTGACTGCAGCGACTGGAAGAGGAGAGAGCAGGGCTGCATCGGGGGATGCTGGTGGTGCTCACCTGCCCCAGGCCCCAGCACTGCTGGGTGGGTGGTCCTGGTGGTCCCGTGGCACTGCCACGATGCCGTGGTCTTCCAGGACCACCAGGACACCATGGGCCTCCAGTACCACCAGGATGCCATGATCCCCTGGTACTGTAGTCCTGGGACAGCCCCTTACCTGCCGGCTGCTTCTCTCCTGCAGCTTCTCCTCTTCCTCCTCCTCCTGTTCATCCTCCTCAGGATCCGGAAGGGAGGTGACACCCTGGGGCTCATGCCATGGCTCTGGCAGCTTCTTGCCCTTCACCAGGACCTTCCCCTTCAGCTGCTGTGAATGGAAGGGCCGAGCTCAGGGCTCAGAAGGGACATGGGGACACCACGGTGGGCAGGCGGGTGGCCTTACCTCTGGGGAGGGGAGGTCGTGGGGCTCCTGCCCCTCCAGCGGCTGTGTCAGCAGCATGTCCCCCAAAATGGCCTTCATGTGCTGGGCCATGGTGGCCTGCTGCTCCAGCCCACAGTGGTTCTCCAGGGACAGGATGACGGGGTATGGCGATTGCTGGGGACGAGGACGGGCAGCGCTCAGCACCCAGCGCCCAGGACCTGTCCCAGGGCTGCCGGCACCCAGCTCACCTTGAAGGCATAGTCACGGATGCTCTCAATGACATCGCGGAAGAGGATTTTGGAGGTGAGCGTGTGGCCATGGTAGACAACAGGTTCCCCATCGGAACCCTCCCAGCAGTCCAGCTCCACGCAACGGCATCCCGCCATCAGTGCCCTGCCACCGCACCATCACCGGATGAGTCTCTGCGCTGCCCTGGCACCACCAGACCGGCCGGGCATGGAGCATCCAACCAGGGGCACCCACCTGACGTAGGCTTCGGTGCTGCTGGTGCCACCGATCTGGTTGCGGGTCAGGTAGGTGTTGTGGGAGGAGGAGATGAAGTAGTGGCACAGGGGCTGGTTCATGTCCTGGTGCACCTTGGTGTGCTCCTGGTTGAGGATGTCACCGGCAGCCGAGAGGAGGTACATCATGAAGCCATCCAGCATCATCAGGTCCTGCTGCCTGGCTGTGGGACACAGCGGCGGGGTGTCGCAGAGGGCTGGCACCCTGGGGACTGTCCCCACCTGGATGTCCCCTCTCTCCCAGTAGTGCCATGTTTACCCCAGACCTGGCACTGCAGCACCCAGGGGACATGTTGAGTTCCCTTGAGTGTCCCGTCTCCATCCTGATGTCCACCATCCTGCTAATGCCACATCTACCCTAGGGGTACTACCGTGACACCCAAGAGACATGGATGTCCTTCATCCCCACCATGATATCCTCTGTCCTCCTTGTGTCATGTTCACCCTGGACCTGCCATGGTGGGACCCAAGGGATATGGAGGTCCCTTGGCAGTGTCACATTCACACTCGGGTTGGCACTGCATCACCTAGGAGACACGGAGGTCCACCTGCTGTCCATCCCCACCTTCACGTCCCCTGTCCTCACAGCGCCGCATCCACCAGGGACCAGCAAGGCCACATGCTGAACTGCTGACACCCGGTGCCACCCCAGGGAAGGGACACAGGGACACCCACCCAAGCCTTGGAGGACTCCATACCAGCTTTGGGGGCATGACACCACCAAGGAGAGCCCCATCCCCACGCCATCCATGACCTCCCTTGGCTCCGGCAGCACCCATCCCACTGTCCCACCACCTCCTGCGCTGGCCGTCCTCAGCCGTACCCTTCTCGTTGAGCTCGTAGGTGCGGATGACGGCACGGGCCTGGCGCAGGCTGGCGTCCTCGCCCTGATCCCGTAGGAAATCCTGCAGCTCCTCGGCCGACAGGACACGGTCCTCACCCGAGTAACGCCCAAAAAGCTCCTCCAGCTCTGGCCTCCGCAGCAGCCGTCGGCAAAACTCCTCCAGCTCCCGGCCCTCCAGCCGCTCGTCACCCGAGCGGTCGCACTCCTGATGGGACCGCAGCCCAACCTCGGGGACCGTCCCCTGCCCGCGGGGAGGGGTACGTCCCCCCCCTGCCTCGGCCCTTGGGGTTGGTGGTGTGTGTGATGAGTTGGGGGGGGGCTCAGCTACTGGCATGAGGGCTCAGGGATGGGTTGCGCCTGGGGGGGTGTGGGGGCGTGTCCCCTCTGTCCCCCCACCCATGGCCCTCTGACCATCCAGTCTGGGATGGAGCAGAGCGGAACGGCGTGCCTCAGTTTCCCCAGGTGGAAAGGGACTTTGGGAGATGGAGGGAAAATGTCACACCTTGGGGACCCACAGAGCAGCGAGGGGTACAGCTCACCCAACCATTGGTGGTGGGCCCAATGATGGTGGGTGGCTTTGGGTGTGATGAGTTTGACAGTTCTCTGTACTTGGGAAGGCAGAGAGGGAGCCAGCATTCCCTCCCGGTGACAGCAGCGGGGGACAGTGGGTGATGGAGCACGGGACGGGTACCTTGAAGAGCTTGTAGGCGTAGACATCATCCATGTCGATGTTGATCATCCTCAGCATGCTCTTCACCTCCCGGAAGGACATCTTGTTGTCCTTGTTCCTGTCTGCTCGCTGCAGGACCCCGTGGATCCAGCTACGCCGGGGTAAGGAAACCACCTGGCGTCACCCCCATGGCCGTCCCCGTCCTGTCCCCAAGCCCCCATAGCTCCAACAAAGGATATTGGTCGAGCTTCTCCGTCTGACTCATGGCTTGCAGCCGCACCATCAGCTTGGTGAGCCCTTGCACCCAGTGGCGGGCGTCCTCCTCACCCCGCGCGGCCAGGTCGAGGTTCTTGCGCTTGCCCTTGAAGACGAGGGTGAAGCAGTGCTGCTCAGGGAAGGCGGCACCATACTTGCGTAGACCTTCCGACCGGTGTCCCTCACGCACCCCCTCGACGTGCATCACCGAGACTGCAGGGACACGCGCGGTGATGGGGTCACCCCAGGGTTTGGGGCGGTCCCTCGGCATTTCCCGCACCCATGAGCATCCTACAAGACATCCCGGCTGCTGATGGACACCCTACATGTCCCCAGGGCCACCCCAGGGGACCAGAGCTCGACTTCTGTTGATGTTGCAGCCAGGCTTAA